TGGAAGGCTGAGGTGGGTGGAGCACGAGGTCAGGAGTTCAAGACCAGCCTGACCAAAATGGTGAAACCCACCTCTACTAAAATACAAAAATTAGCTGGGCGTGGTGGTGCATGCCTGTAGTCCTAGCTACTCAGGAGGCTGAAGCAGGAGAATCGCTTGAACATGGGAGGCAGAGGTTGCCCTGAGCCAAGATCGTGCCGCTGCACTCCAGCCTGGGCAACAGAGCACGACTCCGTCTCAAAAAAAAAAAAAAAAAAAAAAAGAAAGAAAGAAAGTGGGAGGAAAAGCATCCACTGGGATTTAGCAAAATGAGATTGTCAGTGACCTTGAGGAATTTCCATTGGAGAGTTAGAGAGCCAGGGGTAAAAGGCAGATGACTAGGGTTGCAGAATGAGTGGGAGGTGAAGATGTGGAGCTAGAAAAATGGTCAGGACCGCTATTGGAAGAGTTTGGGATTGCTTTATGGTGTTTAAAGGCTAAGGGGCAGGAAGGAGGAGAGGTGAAGGTATAGAAAGGAAGGCTCCTGCGAACGAGGGCCTGGTCAAGGGACAAGATGCACCCTGTTTGCGGCCAGAGGAAGGGCTACAGCAGCGTCTGTAAGAGCAGTGGGAAAAAATATGCGGGAGCCTGTCTAAAGGGTGAGGGCACCGGCGTGGGTGTACAGAGCTGGAATGAGGTACCGTGGTTTTGAGGCGGACCCTGGGTTCAGTGTGATGTCCTGAGGGTCAGGCTGGGGATGGGGCGCCAGATATAGCAAGTAAAACTACAGGATGCCCAGTTAACTTTGAACTGTAGGTAAGCAAGTAAAAAATTTTAGCATAAGTATTTCCCATGCAATGTCCGGGATATACTTACACTAATATATATATGTATATATATGTTACTTATCTGAATTCAAGTCCTGTAATTTACAGCCAACCCTAGCGCAGCGTGGAGAAGTAGTGGGTCAGGGAGGGCACCGGAACGGCGCGACCCGACAGCCTGGGAAACCGGCAGTCGTGTCAGAGGGTCGAGTGCGCCGTGGGGAGGAGGCCGGGGACAGAGCTGCGGCTTCCTTCCACGCCCCGCGGGGCCCGCCGCGGCGCACGGAGACCGCTCAGGATTCGTCCTGGCGGGAACTCCCCGCCCTAGAACTTTGGTCTCGTCCCACCCACCCCCGCCCGCCCCATGGTCTCGCCCTAGGGAGCCATCGATAACTCTACGCTCGGTCTCGGCCTCGATCGACTCGCTCCGGCTCCCCTCGCCGTCCTGGATACGGTGGAGTGCGGAGCCGCCCGTAAGGTACGGAGGCCGCGAGCCAGGGGCCGGGAACCAGCTGCTGGGTGGCTGGGAGAGCGCGGCCGGGAAAGCCAGCCAGCAGGACGGAGCAAGGGCGGTCGGAGGAGGACAGGGGAGCTCAGGGGATTCAGCCAGATAGCGCCCATTCCCATCAGGGCCTGCCGTCGGCCTGCTACGCATGCGCAGCCGCAGCGCTCCGCTTCCCCGGGCCCTCCCGCCGCCTTGCGCACGCGCGGCGCGCCCCTGCGGCAGAGTGGCGTGTGCGCGTGACTGCCCCCTGCGGGCTGCGGCGGGGACGGCGCCCCCTCCGGCTGCGTGGGGCGGGGACTGAGCGCGCGCCCTGGAGCCCCAGCGTCGCCCGGAGCCGAGTGTCACGCGTGTCCCTGAACCTACCTGCGCTTGTTTTCCCATCTGTAAAGTGGGAATGATAAGCCCCATCCGGCAGCGCTCCGTGGGCCTGTAATCTATTTAGCACAGAGGGTGTTGTCTTAAGTACTGCATACCCCTCTCCTCTGCAGATGCTCTGACCTTTCACTCCTGCCGTTCAGCTCTAGGGCCCGTGCTGGCCACACCATGAACACCTCCCCAGGCACCGTGGGCAGTGACCCGGTCATCCTGGCCACTGCAGGCTATGACCACACCGTGCGGTTCTGGCAGGCCCACAGCGGCATCTGCACCCGGACTGTCCAGCACCAAGACTCTGTATCCTTCACTCGGGGCGGGCAGCGTGGCGCTGTGGGGGTGCCTCATGTGGGGACAACAGCCTGGCTGAAAACCAGATGGTGGAGGCCTGGGAGCCCCTGGCCCAGGGCTGCTCTCCCGTCATCCTCCTTAACAGTCCCAGCAGGTGAATGCCTTGGAGATCACACCAGACCGAAGCATGATTGCTGCTGCAGGTATCTGTGACCCTTGACCTCTCACCCCTGACCTCTGGCGGGTCGACCTAAGCACAGCCAAGCTTCAGTTCAGCCTATGTCCTTAGGTTACCAGCACATCCGCATGTACGATCTCAACTCCAATAACCCCAACCCCATCATCAGCTATGATGGTGTCAACAAGAACATCGCATCTGTGGGCTTCCACGAAGACGGCCGATGGATGTACACCGGAGGCGAGGACTGCACAGCCAGGATCTGGGACCTCAGGTGTGGTGGGGAGGGGTCTGCTGCCTGGGGCTGGGGTGGGCCGCTCCTGGGAGACGTTTTTAGGTTGGGTTCTTTCCAAGCAGAGGCTGAGTCAGGGAGCTTCCTATGACTGACTTACTGAAGTAAGGACAGGGGAGTGAATTGCATCAAAGCCCGAGTCTTGCCTTGAGCCGGGAGGCTGCACATTATACCCCTTCTGCCAGTACTGGCTTACACTCCTCTCTGGAGCGGAGGGCCCTACATCCCAAGTATTTCCCGAGTGGCGGGTCCCATCAGTAGATGGAGGGGAGGAGTGGCCAGGCAGAGGCCATCTGGGTGGGGCACCAACAAGCCCAGACAGTCAGCATGTGTCCGGCCCGGCCCGCAGGTCCCGGAACCTGCAGTGCCAGCGGATCTTCCAGGTGAACGCGCCCATTAACTGTGTGTGCCTGCACCCCAACCAGGTGAGGAGGGCTCATGGGGCTGGGCACCCTGGGACTTGGGAGAGCCGGGCTTGAGCCCTGCCTCACCTCCCTTGTACCTCAGGCAGAGCTCATCGTGGGCGACCAGAGCGGGGCCATCCACATCTGGGACTTGAAAACAGACCACAACGAGCAGCTCATCCCTGAGCCCGAGGTCTCCATCACGTCTGCCCACATCGACCCCGACGCCAGCTACATGGCAGCCGTCAATAGCACCGTGAGTCCTGTTGGCAGGTGCTGGGTGGGGGCAGCTTGGCACTCAGCCCCCAGCCTCTGCAGGTGGGCTTATTCCTGGATGTCCCTTAGTGGCCCCCTTCTGCTTCCTCCATCCTGGGCGCTAACACCCACCCTGCCAGCAAAGCCAGAAGTCCCGATGCCTTATCCGCGTCTGCAGCTCCGTCACACTGGTTTCTGGAGTCTCTCCCAAGTTGGTCCACTTCCCTCTTTTCTCCCTGTTGCCTCCTGGTTCTACTCACCCTCGTCTCCCATGACAGCTGACACATTCTCTGAGGCCTCCTTACCTCCTCCTGATGTCCCCCCACCCTGACCTATTCTCCCTTGGACGCTTCTAGTGGTGCCTGGTCAGCACCGGCCAGGTGGTGGTATTCTCCTGTGGAGACCCAGGGCTGCTGGCCTCGCCTGTAGGCTGCCGTGGCGTGGCCCCTGCTCTCCTCTCCAGCCTCCTTTTTTTCCATTAACTCCATTTAATCCCAGCGCCTCACTTGTTTCTCTTGTCCCCGGACTTCCCTTCTCCCAGCCTTGGTCATACTGTCCCTCTAGCTGGTGCCCTTCTCCCAGATACTCCCATTGGCCAGGGACATTCTCCAGAAAGGATAATTTGAGTCCTTGGCCAGGTATGGCCTCCTGTTCTTGGCTTGCCGGCTGTGGCTCTTGGTTGGGGCCAGACTGCCCAGGTGCCTCCTGCAGGCAGGTCTGGAGGGGCCTGCCCCTGACCCCGGGTCCCCATGCACAGTTGGTTCCCAGTGTTGTGCCTCAAGGGCATCCTTCCCTGTATCTCAGACCTGAGGCCTCGGGCCACTGGTGACAGTCCTCCTGCCTTTAGGGATACTGCTATGTCTGGAATCTGACGGGGGGCATTGGTGACGAGGTGACCCAGCTCATCCCCAAGACCAAGATCCCCGCCCACACCCGCTACGCCCTGCAGTGCCGCTTCAGCCCCGACTCCACGTGTGTGCAGGGCCTCCTGGCCCGGGAGGGGACCTGCCTGGGTGGGGGGCTGGACAGGGGAGGGGCTGCTGGGTGCATGTCAGGGGCTGCAGGGTGGAGTGGCTGCTGCTGGACACGCCCCACCCCCACCCCCACCCCCAGGCTCCTCGCCACCTGCTCAGCTGATCAGACATGCAAGATCTGGAGGACGTCCAACTTCTCCCTGATGACAGAGCTGAGCATCAAGAGCGGCAACCCTGGGGAGTCCTCCCGCGGCTGGATGTGGGGCTGTGCGTTCTCGGGGGACTCCCAGTACATCGTCACTGGTGAGCTCCGCCCCAGCCTCCCCCATCCCTGGCCTCCAGAGCCAGCCCACCTAGGCTGCTGCTCCCCCTCTCCTTGGGCTCTCTGCCCGGCCTGCACCTGTGCTCTGAGCCCTGCCCATCGTCCCCCTCCAGCTTCTTCAGACAACCTGGCCCGGCTCTGGTGTGTGGAGACTGGAGAGATCAAAAGAGAGTATGGCGGCCACCAGAAGGCTGTCGTCTGCCTGGCCTTCAACGACAGTGTGCTGGGCTAGCCTGTGCCCGCTCAGGTCTGCCTGGTGCAGGTGGTGGCAACTGGAGGGACCCGTGCAGCATCCAGGTCACAGTGGGGCCTACGGCCAGCCTGTGCCAGCTGGACCCGACGGCCCCTTGTAGCTCCTCGACCTGCTGGGCCAGGCCACCCTAGGCCTCTCAGCCCCCAGTTGCTTGTCTGGATGTGACAGCTCAGGGTGACGCAAGCAGGGGTGCACACTCCTAGACTGGGCTAGCCTGCACTCCCTAGGAAAGTCGGCCCAGGGCTTGAAGCTGCGGAGGCATCTGAGACTGGTGCCCCCTCCCAACCCAGTGCACTCTGTCCCCTCCCTGCCCGAGTTTCAGGACCTCAGGCCACAGAGACCACCACCACGGCCAGGTGGAAGGGTTTATTCGTCCCGCCGGCAGCTGTCCTCCCTGGTGTGGGTGATCTGGCCATCCCACTGGACTGGGGACTGGGACTGGGCTTGGCCAGTTCAGGGGCTCAGTCTGGGAGGTAATAAAAGCAGACCGACACGCAGATGTTGCTTGGGAAGCAGATGTCGATGCAGAGATAGATGAGCCGCTGCCTCCGGGGCCCTGTGGTGAGGGCGCCGTGAATCCCAAAGGGCTGTGCCCCCAGCTCCTCCGTGGGCCTGGCCTCCCCATGCAGCAACCCCAACTCACCCTCCACTCGCTGGGCCCAGTAGATGGGGGTCCTTGCACACAGGTGCTGCACCAAAGCTCCCACCTGGGTGGGGTCCACCTCGTGGCTCCCCAGCACTGCCAGCAGCTCCTGGGTGTGGTGGGTGTCCTGGCTGGGGCCCTGAGTCCCTTGGGCCTGCTGAGAAGACTGGTGGGCCATGGGAGGGGACTGCTCCCTGCTCCTGGCTGGACGGGGCCGGGCCCCTCCCAACCCCAGTGATGGCCCCACCCTCAGCTCTTGTCAGCAGCCTGTGCTCAGGGAGGAGAGCTTCCTGTTCCCTGAAACCAGAGCCTCAGCCTGCCCTGCTCTGGGCTGCACACAGGACCCTTTGTCTGGCCCCTGGCTGGGGGATGCGCCCAGCAGGATGGCTCACCTTGGAGGTATCCACCAGCAGCCGCAGGGTCTCCCGATCACTGTCCCCCATCAGGCGGAGGAAGCAGGTGTGGTGCTCCTCAGGGCGGTAACAGATGCAGCCCTGGGGAGGCAGGGGGGTGAGGCAGGGCCACCCTGACTGACACCTGTGAGGGCAATCCCTCCCTGCCCACTCACGCTCTGTCCGTCGAACAGCACCACCCAGCTGTGGTTGCTCTGAGGTGGGGTCACTGTGATGGTTGCCGCATTCTGGGCCACGTCTACCAGGATGGTTTGGTTGGGCCTGGGCACGTGGGGGCTCGGGAGGGTCATTCGCAGCATCTGCAGCTGTGGCTGGCAGTGGAGTTGAGAGTTCAGCTGGGCAGCTGGGCAACCTCAGCACAGCCCCTAGCTCTGGGCTCAGGATTCTGACATCCCTGAGTGGCCCCTTAGTCCTCCAGCCATCTGCTCCAAGGCGGCCATATCACTGCTGGCTCTGCGCCCTGGCTCTGCTGGAGGCTGGGATATGCTAGCTTCCCCTCCCTCTTCCCACTGTCCACGACCCTGGTCCTGAGGAGGGCTCACCTTGGGAGGGCCCTGAGCAAAGCCAAGAAGCCCTCCAGCCACAGCCCCCGCAGTCAGCACCAGCAGCAGCAGCAACAGGCCCATGGCTCTCCAGCTCCCACAGCAGGGCTTGGTCTTCACCTGGGCACACATCAGGGTCAGAGGGATCAAGGGGGTTAGAGACCAGGGAGCAAGTGGGCTGGGGAAGGGAGAGGCTGGGTGGCCCGGGGCACCCCCTGGGTCCTTGCTGTAGGAGTGATGGGAGGCCACTCACCCCTGCATGCTCAGGTTCGGGGCGCTCTGCGCAGCAGCTTGCTGGCTCCATGCTGCAGCTCCTGCTCACAATGCGCCGATTGTCTGCGCCCCTTGTCTGCAACCTTGGCCAGGGAAACCTCAGGACGCCTCCCCTCCTGACCCCACGCCTCCCCCTCAGCTCCAGATCTGATATCCAGGACAGTCCCCTCCTCCCACCTGGGGGATACCCGTCACCAGGCCTGGCTCCAGACACCTGGCCTGCACAGACCGGAGATCAGGGTCTGGGAAGCATAGTGCTTGGCTGCGTGGAAATCCAGTCCAGATGACCAACTGGAGGGCAGCGCTGTCCTAGCCAGGGTGACTCGCTAAGTGTGGTTAGGGTGGATTTCGTTTCCTAAAGCGGTCTGAGTCTCTCAGGTTACCCTCAACTCCCCAGTGCTCTCAGGGCAGAGGCCCTGGCACTCCACAAGCTGTCAATAAATCCTGGTTCAATGAATGACTCATATGGGACTGTGCTGCTTCGCAGCCCCTCAGTGTGAGATGGGGCCAAATGGCATCCCACAGGATACGTGCCCAAGACCAGGGGTTCCTGAAGGCTGGAGTGTGGATAGGCAGCCTACTGGAGCCTGTGCCCCTTGGGATGGTCAGGCCAGCCTTGGGGGCCTGCCCAGCATGCCTTTGAGATGGAGTTTCACAGTGTCCCCCAGGTTGGAGTGCAGTGGCTCCATCTTGGGTCACTGCAACCTCTGTCTCCTGGGTTCAAGCAATTCTTCTGCCTCAGCCTCCCAAGTAGCTGGGATTATAGATGCCCATCACCACACCTGGCTAATTTTTGTATTTTTAGGAGACCAGGTTTCACCATGTTGGTCAGGCTGGCCTCGAATGCCTGACTTCAAGTGATCTGCCTGCCTGAGCCTCCCAAAGTGTTGGGATCACAGGCGCGAGCCATGACGCCCAGCCTAGCCGGACTTGTTTCTAACTCAGCTCTGCTCCCTGCCCTGGGCAAGCTGACATAGCAGCCCATGTGTGCCCATGAGCCCCACCAGCTTCACTCCAAGACCCTTTCCTTCCCTGGTTTCCCTCATTCTCCAGAACGCGTTCCTCTGAGCCAGGCTGGGAGTGGGCAGTTGGCATTCCCACTGTGGAGTTGGAACCCCAGCCACCCATCTACTTTGAGTCCTCCCACGTGCAGTGACACGGCGGCGCCCAGGGCCAAAGCAAGTGGAGAGCAAGAACACCTGAGCCAGTGTGGGTTTGAGAGTTTAATCTGCGCTCCGGGGCACACAGTGCCACAGCCCCTCGGGGGCTGGAGACAGGGTGCACAGGGACTCCCAGCCCCCACACGGCAAGAGGAAGGCATCCCCCAGCTGCATCTGCCGCGTGCTTCTAGCATGACTGCATCCTGCCAGGCCAGACCCAGCTGGAACTGACCTCACCAAGTGAGCATCAGTGCCATCAACTTTGTGGGCACAGCCACCCTCATGCTGCCCTGCAGCACCCTCTGAACCTGACATCCCTGGTCTGGGAGGTGCTGAAGGCTCAGAATGCCCCTTATTGCTCTGAGAAGTCTTCATGACCAAGTGGAATGCTGTGCAGCCAGGAGAGAAGCCGCCAGGTGCAGGGCAAGGCGCCGGTAGGGAGCCAGCCAGAAGGTGCAGTGTCCTGGGCTGGCCCTGCTGAGTCTGCTGTCAGGCCTGTGAAAGGTCAGCAGAGCCACAAGGCAGGCAGGAGAGGCCAGAGCCCCACTCAGAACCTTGGCGAGCTGGTGGCCCTGCCAAGTCCTCCTGCTGGCCACTGACAAGGGAATCCAGGGCAAGGCAGGTGACCTCCTGGGCCACCAGCCTCCAACCCCTACTCCAACCTAGTGAACGGAAGGACAGGAAGAGGCTGGATGCTTTGTAAAGGACTTCCTGTTCTTGGGGACACAACTCTCCTCCCCGTCCCAGAGCCCTGGATGACAGGCATTCCTTGGCCAACATGCTTTAGCCGCACTGTCGGCTGCAGGACATAAAGGTTTCTTCAGTGGTATTTTCCCTACGAGACAGAGCACAGCTATTAACGCACTTAACATTCAAATCCATTGCCTGACAGTTGTTCAAAGTTAACTGTTTGGTAGCAGCACTGCTCTGAGCTCCCTGCACTGCAGCCTCCGAGTTGAGCGAAGGCGTCCCCGGCCTTGCGGGTGCTCAGTCCAAGTCACCTGGGTTTAAACGCACACTTGAGACAGCTGAGGTTTAGCTGGGCTGCATTTACAGAACTGGGCAGCTGTGTGTGAGGAGCAGCAGCCCTGGGTATCTGAAACGGAACAGACACTCAATTGTGACATCAAAGTGGTTTTCAAGGAAGCAGAGGCGGCGGAAGGGTGGTGAGGGCAGCACTTTGCACCCAAGGGCAAGGAGATGGCACCTGGGAGCAGCTCCCTCCTCCATCCCCAACCTGCTGGGAGGCAGAGGGACACAGAAGGCTCCGCTGGACTGTCAGTCACACTGATGGGGTCTTGGTCCACAAAAGCCTCTCCCAGCAGAATAATCAGTCCCTCCGCCCCCAAGGGACTGGATCCCTGAATGAGTTTTTCAATAAAGTATAGGACACACCCAGAGAACCGCCTCAGGCCCCGGATACCTGAATCCCAGACAGGTGCTGAGCCTGCCCCTGCCAACCCCGCCCAAGGCCCAGAACCCACCCCACAATGCCTTCCAAGCCTAAAAGTGCAATTCCATTACAAACATCTGTAAACAAAATCGTCCCCCAAACGTTTACTTACAAGGTTAACAATGAATGCCTTTGCTTAACTCCAATTACACTCTTTGAAGCCACCTGGCCGAGAAGATGCTTAAGCCCCACCTATTAATTTGGGTAACTAATTTTCAATTTTTTTTTTTTATTCTGGAGATTAAAGACACTCAATCTTTAACCTTGAAGGGCGGGCAAAAGGTCGGCTATGCTGTCAACATAGAAGTCAGGGACCATTTTCTTCTTAGACACGCAGTCACTTTCCTGATTACTCTTCACATCCCCTAGAGTGGAGACTCCGGTGAGGGTCAGAATGGTCTTGAGGCCACAAGTGACGCCCAGGAGGATGTCTGTGTCCAGGCGGTCTCCCACCATGACGGTGCGCTCGGGGTTGATGCCGTATTCCTGGGACACGCAGTCGAAGATGAAGCGGCTGGGCTTCCCGATGATGTCGGCCTGGCGCTGGGCGGCCATCTCCACGGCTCGGACCAGACAGCCGGTACCTGCGGGGCACAGGGGACCCGGTCAGAGGCCGGGGAGGGGGCCCGGGGCGCGCCCCCCAGCCTCCCGCCCCGGGGCGCACGGACCCGCGATGAAGCGGCCGTTCTCCAGCGGTAGCCGGTTGTCCATGTTGGTGCCCACGAGCAGGCAGCCAGGCTGCTGCAGGTAGCGCAGGGCTTTGGTGAGCTTCATGTAGCTGAAGTGCGGGTCAAAGCCCACGACCACAGCGCGCACGTCAGGCTCCAGCGGCGCGTGCAGCCAGTCGCCGGGACCCTCGCCCTGCAGCGGCTCGGGCCCCACGCCCACGCAGGCGACGCCCACGGCCTCCAGCTCCGCGGCCAGTGCCTGGCTGCCCAGCACGTAGGCCTTGGGCGCGGGCGCGCCAGCCAGGCGCTGGCGCAGGTAGAGCGCGGTGCAGTACGCGGTGCCGAAGACCTCCAGGCCGGCGCCGGGCCCCGCCGGGCCGCCAAAGCCCAGGCGCCGCAGCTTCTCGGCGTAGGCCGCGCGGGTCTTGCTGCTGTTGTTGGTTATGAAGCCCAGGCGCTTGCCGTGGGCGCGCAGCGCCCGCAGGGCCTCAGGTGCGCCGGGCACGGCCGTCTCTCCGCGCCACAGCACCCCGTCGCAGTCAAACAGCAGCGTGTCCACGTTGGCCAGCAGCGCCTGGGCCCGCTCGGCGCTCAGCCGCACGCAGCGGGCGTCGTCGCCATCGGCCGCCGCCGCCGCCGCCATGGCCGCCACCGGCCGCCGCCGCCGCCGCCGCCGCTGGCCGCTCCTCGCAGCCGCCCGCCGCGGTGCCCTCCCCGCCCCCGGGGCGCTCATTGGCCCCGCGTCTCGCGCCCGCCGCCCATTGGCCGTCGCCTTCGCCAATCCGCCCCCGCTTCCCGCGGGCTGCGGGAGATCAGCGCCAACTGGCGCGGCCCGGCGCGGTTAGGCGGGCGACCATTGGCTGCCGGGCTCGGGGCGCCCCGGTGATTGGTTGGCAGGGCGCCAACCGGCATTCGGAGTGGAAGGCTCGCTGCGGAAATGCGGCTGAGGGGAGGGTTGCGCAGGCGCAAGGCCGCGCTGCTCCCCAGCGGCCACGGGGTCGTGCGCCCATTGGTAGCCAGTGGTCAGCTTCACAGTGAGGAAGCCCTTCACGGCGTGACCCGGGACCGGCAGGTTGCCCATTGGCCGGCTTCTCTAGCGGGTCCGGGCAGGGCTCCTGCAGTAGCGCGGCGGGAGGGTCCGGGGTTGCAGGGGACGCGTTCCGAACACCGGGCCAGCAAGTGGGTTGTTTACCGGCCAGTCTGGGAAGCCAGCCCGGGACTCCCTCCTCCGCAAGGCTGCGTGCTCGCCTCAGTCCTTTGCAAAAGCACGTTCCAGGCCGGGCGCGGTCGCTCAAGCCTGTAATCCCAGCACTTTGGGAGGCCGAGGCGGGTGGATCACGAGGTCAAGAGATCGAGACCATCCTGGTCAACATGGTGAAACCCCGTCTCTACTAAAA